TTTTATTAAAGTTATTTGTGTTGTCATAACATGCTAAATGCCACTTTGACGTGGCAATTTTGATGTAACATTTAATTTTTTTGATATTTTTTCTTTTATCTTTATAGTTTCATTTACTTTCTCTTTTAGTTTTTATAATTTTATTTACATTTCTTTTTAATTTTTATAGTTTAAAATATCTTATTTTAATTTTTATACAATTTTTTTATTCAATATATTTTTAATCCATGAAATTTTATCAATTATTGCTTTTAGTCTAAAAAAAAAATTTACTTAGTTTAGTTCTTTTTTTTTTTTTCTTGAAGAGAAGTATTAACATCAGGGAACACAATTGTTAATAGAGGAAAGAGTTTAGGAACTAAAAGTAGAATTTGACCAAAGTTAAAGACTAAAACTAGTAAAAAAAGATTGTTTAATAACTAAAATTAAAAATCAACAGAAATTTAGAGACTAAAAACATATATAATTCTAGTGTTTTTTTTTCTTTTAGTCTTCATTATTTATTTTCTATTAACATCTAATACAAAAATAAATTGTCATGTAGTACACTCACCTTATATTGACATAATAATTGTTATTAAAAACTACTTTTATCTATAATATAAATACAATATATATTAAAATATGGTTAAAAAAAGTAGGTAGGTTATAATAACATATGTAATATATATTATTGAATCTCATTCAAAATCAATACTAAAATTATGTGTATATATATATCAAATAAATTTATGCCTACATATTTTGTGTTTATATAGGCATTTTTTATATGTTATTGTATATAAAATATTTTTTATAGTGATTATTTATTGTGATGACATGAAAAAGACCACTTCAAATTGACGTTTTTGACATTAATATTTTTTATTTATATCTGTCAAAATTATCTTATATTAGATTTGAACGTCTAATGTCTATCTATGATAACTTTGTACTTGGTTTCAAACTTAAGATCACAACAACCACTACTAAGTTTTGGTTTCCTTTCCCACAATGAGGGGCATTGTTGAAGTCAAAGATACTAATAGTTTGAGTTTATAGAAGGTTTGAGTTGTAATTAATATGAGCATGAGCTTTTTTTCTTTAAGGGAAAAGGTAGGAAGTTCAATTAGTAACAACAAAATGTCTTTTTCAAAGATCACTCAACGAACTTAAGTTAGAAATTGTATGGGTATACTTACCCACTAAGTTAAGTTGGAGTAGTATGCACAAAATTTTAGGTTTGAATTTTGTTGTTGTCATTATAAAATTTCTATTGATAAAAAAATATGATATGATGTGAAGATGAAATTAATTATGATTATGTTGATTTTAGTTGTAATGATGAGAGTGAAACTTGAAGAGAATAATTATGATGTATATATATACTTTTAAAAATGATATGTGATATTCTTAATGCTATAAATTTATGTATGAGTATTATTCCTTCAATTTAAAATCTTTAGATCCATCATTGCATTCAAATAGTTGACTTGCTTATTCTAACAAGTAAGGAGAATCCATTTCTTTTATAATGGTAGGGGTTGGGATACAATGCACAAAATTTTAGATTTAGTCCTTAATATTATTATTGTAATTCTGATGGATAAAAAAAGTATGATTTTTCTAAAATTCAAGGACATTTTTCTTTATCTAAGTTTAAGATGGAATAAGATTCGGACATAGAGTCTCATTAACCTATAAGAGATAATAATAATAATAATAATAATAATAATAACATCATCATCATTATTATTATTATTATTATTATTATTAATTTATCAATAATAATAATTATACTTATATATGTATATATGCGTGCATGCATGTATGTGTGTGATTTTGGTTTCCAATAAAGATATATATATATATATATATATATATATATATATATATATGTATATTATAATTTTCATTCTAATGTTAAAAGTAGTCATTAGTTTTAATAGTTAAATATTATTGGAGATAATAATCAACGGTTCAAATTTAATGTTTGACTTTTACAATTTTCTCCCCCATATTTTCACATGTTACATTATTATATCATGTCACTAAAACATTAGCATGTTATCCGTCATGTCGACACTATGTTATTTGTTATGTCATTTGTCAATGCCACATTAATAAAAAAAAATCGTAATAATTTTAATAAGACAGATTACAAATATAATATTTGATTGAATAAAATTGCTCAATTTATAATTATGACACTTAATTAAATGTTTTTTTTATAATAGTGAGGGACCATATCCAAGAAAAGAATAATTGTTTGGTGTATCCTACGTAGCTACATCTTTGAAGTGAAAGACAACTAAACGAGAAAAAATAATTTCATGAGATGCATAAAATATTGATGCATAGTTTCACATTACACTTTTAATCTGTGAGGAGAAGAACATATTTTTTATTACTCTCACACGATAATGTATCATCTACTATTTATATTCCTACACTTCATCCTCAAAGAGGACACTCTTTCTTGAGAATATAAACATATGGTAACTGATCGGAGTCTCTTTTGTAGGTATAATCACTAATCTAAAGACCAAAGACTTATGAGGACTTTGGATGAGTACTTTTTCTAGCAAGTACGTTAATTTAATGCCTACTATGGGGCTATAGAAAACTCTCCTACAGTCAGATGCATTACAAATTAATAAGAATGACAACCAATAAGAAGATTTGATCTAAGTAAACACTCTCAAATGCAAGTTAAAACCCAAGTATAAAATCTTGGTAGAGAATATCTCATATGAGTAATTGCTCTCGGATGCAAGTTAAAACCCAAGTATAAAATCTTGGTGAAGAAGATCTTATCTAAGTAAACGTTCTTGAATGCAAGTTAAAACCTAGGTATAAAATCTTGATCGAGAATATCTCATTCAAGTCAATTCTCTCAAATGAAAGTTAAAATTCAAGTATAAAATCTTGGTAGAGAAGCTCTCATCTGGTCAACAAGTTCTTATCCAAGTAAAAACTCTTAGATGCATTTACCAAGTATAAAATCTTGACTGATAAGTTCTTATCTGACCCACAATTTCCCATTCAAGAAGTCAACATGTTCTCAATTGAGTAAAAACTTAGATGGATTTCTCAAGTATAAAATCTTGGTTGACAAGTTCTCGTTCGATCAACAAGTTCCCATCCGATTGAAAAGTCAATAAGTTCTCATTTGAGTAAAAATTCTTGGATGGATTTCCCCAGTAAAAACTCTTGGCTTGCAAGCTTTCATCTGAGAAGCTAACATGTTCTCATCCAAGTAAAAACTTTCAGATAGATTTCCCAAGTATAAAACCTTCACCGACAAGTTCTCATCGGCCAACAAATTTTCATCCAAGAAGCCAATAAGTTCTCATTTAAGTAAAACCTCTTGAATAGATTTCCTAAGTATAAAATTTTTGCCAACAAGTTTTCATCGACCAACAAATTTCCATTTGAGAAGTCGTCAAGTTCTCATTCTAGTAAAATCTCTAGGATAGATTTCCTAAGTATAAAATTGTAGCCGACAAGTTCCCATCCAGCCAACAAGTTCCCATTCGAGAAGTTGACATGTTCTCATTTGTGAAAAACTCTCGGATGGATTTTCTCAAGTATAAAATATTGATCAACAAGTTCCTATCCGAGAAGCCAACATGTTTTTATTTGAGTAAAATCTCTTTGGATGAATTTTTCTAAGTATAAAATCTTAGTCAAAAAGTTTCCATTTGAGAAAAAACTCGAATGAATTTTTTGTATAAAATTTTGGCTGACAAATACTCTCAAATGGATTTTTTCAAATATAAAATCTAATTATAAAATCTTAGTGCGTGTTTGGTAACACGTCCAAAACGTGATTCGAAGCAAAAATCACGTTTAAAACGCAAAAGGTATAACTGATAGCTTCTATTTTGACGTGATTTATCACGTTCAAAATTTTAACCAAACACACACTTAGTTGAATTAGAATAAAATTTTCGGTCGATGAATTTCAGGTAACTATTTTTGATAATTTACTCCAATAAAAAAATTCCACTCAATAGAGAAGATGGTTACAACTTGTACTCACTAAGTTGAATTTTCATTAAAACATGATAAACAAAAGCTACAAGTTTTTGATTAAAATGTTTGTGGATGTGCTTTAAACAATTAAACCTCTCTTCTTTTATAAACTTGAGACTTGGAAAACTTATGTATCTAGTCAAATAATAAATGAAATTTAAGAAAAAGAACATTTGGTAATACTCGATTGTTACTCATTAATTAAAGATTTTAAATACTCCTTATTACTCTCACCTAAACTATTTTGATTTGAAATGCTCATTCTTGAAAATATACACATAAACTAAGTATAAAAATCCATTTTACATTCTCAACAACCAATCTAAAGATTGAAGATTTCTAAGAACTTTAGACAAACACTTCTTCCGTTACATCTGTCTATTTCAAAGCATAGAATTGTTTCTATCATTCCGGTCATAATTCATATAGGCAGTATTTTTATGTTTTTTTTTCGGAATATTTATTTGAGGAAGTATGTAAATGCAACAAACATTTTTCCGGCATTTGCAAATGATTATAAAACTTTGTACAGAATGAAAAAGAAAAACCTTTTGTGAAAACTTTTATCACTCAATTTTGCAATTCTTAGAAAATGTGTTGAGAGAGGGCTTAGAGAAAAGGCCCAAATCCAATAAAATGACATCCATCCACTCCGCTCTTACATAACATGTACCATAGCTCATTTGTCCTACATATTTGACTGGTCAACACTTTGCATTGATATGACATCCATTATTGTTAGAACCTAAAATATTCATTATTGTTAGGAATACTTGAAACAGTTAATTTTTTAGATAGTTTATTTTTAAAAGAACCTAAATATTTGGTGTAATAAATTATAAAAACAAAAAATATCCGACCTGTTAGGTGGCGAGAGAAAAAAGAGAAATTTTATAAGTTAACATCGAGAAGAAGTTTGATACACAATTTAGTTAATTAACATAAAAAAAAATTATCAGTATCAAAAAATTCCTAAAAATTTAGTTAGTTTAGTAGTATAATTTTGTTGAATGATAATTTAGTAAGGGTAAAAATGAATTGTTTGTTTCAAAATTTATAGGGTAGCATAAAATGAAATCTCTCAAGTGTCATCTAAATATCTAACTCAAGGTAGGTTGAAGAAAGAGAGAAGAAGAGAGACATAAGCATGAAGAAAGTTCTTCTATTAGTAAACTCCATCCTTCTAGCCATAGGCACCTCCGGTGGCCCTCTCGTAATGCGTCTGTACTTCATCCACGGCGGCAACCGTATCTGGCTCTCCAGCTTCCTCGAAACCGCAGCCTTTCCCATCATTCTCATTCCCTTGGCCATCACTCACATCAATCACCATAACCATCATCACCAAACAAAACCTAACCTAATTTCCATGAAACCACCTCTCTTTCTTGCCTCCGCCGTCATCGGAGTCCTCACCGGCCTGGACGACTACCTCTACGCCTGCGGCATAGCGCGTCTGCCGGTGTCCACCTCTTCCCTCATCCAAGCCTCGCACCTCGCCTTCACCGCCGTCTTCGCCTTCCTCCTCGTCAGGCACAGGTTCACGCCGTACTCCGTCAACGCCGTCGTGCTGCTCACCGTGGCCGCGGTGGTCCTGGCGCTGCGCTCCGGCGGGGACCGTCCGAGCGGTGAGTCGACGCGGCAGTATGTGATCGGGTTTGTTATGATACTGGCGGCTGCGGCGCTGTATGGATTTGTTCTGCCGTTGATGGAGTTGGTGTACAAACGGAGCAAGCAACGTATTACGTACTCTTTAGTCATGGAGATTCAGCTTGTCATGTGCTTCTTTGCTACCTTCTTCTGCGTCATTGGAATGATAATCAATAATGACTTCAAGGTTTGGACTCACTCCTCTTTTTTTTTCTTTTTTTTTATCATATACTTCTTCTTTCTTATTATTACTCTCTTCCTCCAATATCAATTGAAGTATTAAAAGAAAAATTAATTTCTAAAAAGGTTATTTTATATAAATGAAAAAATGTAAGAAATTTTTCTATTTTCCATTAGATGATTTTGATATTTTTTTTATTATATTTTTTCATTTTTTTTCATAATAAATACATATTAGTTGTAATGTGTAAATTAAAAGATAGATAAGACATTTTTACAAAAAAAAAAAAGATAAATAAAACATAAAAGTATAATTGATAACATAATAATTAATGTTGTCTTAAAATATAAAAATGACAAGTAAATAAAAATAATATTTTACTAAAGAATTGATAAAAAGGAATAAAGGGAGTAAGTGTTTATGTTAACTTTTTAATATAATATTAATTATTTTTTTTCATTTATATTACTAATTATATTATGTAGAAAGTAAATTTTATGTTGCATCATTTTTAGTAAAAAATAATCATAAAATTAATTTTATAAAGTTATTATTCTTTTTTATATATTTATTAATTTTTCTTAATCAATGTAAAATAACCTAAAATGAAATTTATTATAGAATGGAAGGAGTATAAATTATCGATATTCGCATGAAATCATTTGAAGTTTGCTTCTTGTTTGATAAATAGTTTTGTTGATTATATATATATTACAAAATTTTGGTGAGAATAAAGTGTTCCAATAATTTTGGGTGTGATAAATTTTGCAGGTGATATCGCGAGAAGCCAAAAATTATAAGCTTGGGGAAACCAAGTACTATGTTGTGCTGGTGTGGGGTGCAATAATGTGGCAGTTGTTCTTCTTGGGAGCAATAGGGGTTATCTTTTGCGCCTCTTCTTTGTTTTCTGGTATTATAATTGCTGCTTTTCTTCCAGTAACGGAGGTTTTGGCTGTTATTCTTTACAAAGAGAGTTTTCAAGCAGAGAAAGGGGTTGCTTTGGTGCTCTCTCTCTGGGGGTTTGCGTCCTACTTCTATGGAGAGATTAAACAAGACAGGAAAAAGAACAAGAATCGTTGTCCACAAACAGAGTTACCTCAAACTCAAACTCAAACTCAAACTCGTCCTTCCAACGCATGATTGCAAGTAAAGTTGTCAATTCATTTCACTATCTTGGCTTGTGTTGAATTGTCAATATTGAAGGCTAGCTTTGGCCCCAACTAGAGGAAAATCACAAAAGGCAAAGCCATTTGTCACCCTTTTAATTAATACAAAAGTCTAAAATGATTACTAATACAGAGGGATCGGAGAAAAAATGAATTTTTTTTTGATAAAGAATGTGATAAAAAAAAATAAAAATGAAATGAAAATGTAAAAAATAAAATAAAATAAAATCGCTTTAAGTCCACATCCAAACTTTGGCAAACTCACCTTTAATTGTCTGCCAATACTTTTAGCCAGATAATATCCTGATTAAAATTTATAGCACGTAAATAAAAATATCAATGTTAAATTTATCTTTTAGATATTAAATACATTATGTATAATTTATGCGAGAAAGAAGTGGGACTTAACAATGGACAGACTGTTTGCTTTCTGCTTCCGAGTAAGATTATCATCACTGTGAATATCGAATTTTATCCCCCTTTTTTTTTCTACTATTTTGTTTCACAATATTTTTTTATGTAAAGAACAATTTTAAATTAAAAAAGAAAAAAATTACTGAGCTACCTGAATCCATTTGGCAAATAAAACTCGAGTCTGATTAAAAAAAACTGCAAAAGGAAAAAGAAAATTATAACTAAAATTATATATATCACTGCTATATGTGCGGGGCCTGATTACTGCCATTTCTCATATATATATATGGGGATAATCCACCATAACAGGTCTTTAAGAATTTTTTTTTATTGAAATGGAACTCTTCTGAAAATATTTATTAGATGGTGCATTAAACCTTAAAATAATGTTAATAAAACTAGCATTGTCCAAGTCATACCGGTATCTTCCAATGGGGTATTTATGTTGTAACTTAAAAATAAGCGACAGTATTTAGAAGTATTTGTTATTGGAATGATCTTACATGCTAAGAGAAGTTCTTATTTTTCTTAGTTCCGAAGCTTTAGTAAGTAATGATGCTTAGCACTGTAAAATTCCAAATGGAAAGGTGTGATTGGCTCCGGTTCCAAGCTGAACTGTGCAGGAAGGTTTGGCAAACAAATTAAAATGAAAGAAACGAGGAACGTGCACGAAGGTTCCAAGCTCATCCACACCAGCGCCATCGCACCAGCACCACCAGCCCTCCTCTCGTCGTCGCCCATCACCCACCAGCCACGAGTGAGAATGAGAGACGAGAGGACCTTGAGAGAGAAAGAGGGAACGAGAGAGACGTTTTCGTAAATTTATTTTTTACATTCTATTTTTTATTTTTACATATTATTTTCTATTTTTATTTTTTATATTTTATTTTCTATTTTTATTTTTTACATTTTATACAAAAAAAAATACATTTCGTAAAATTTTATTAAAAAATAATTAAATCAAACACATTTTGAATATTTTTATTTTCTAAATAGAAAACAAGAACTCAAACTAAACAAGTTTTCTAAATCTAAAAATTTGAAAATAAAAATTATTTTTAAAGATAAAAATAGAAAATATTTTCTCAAATGAAATAGGTTTTTTAGTTTCTCATCGTAGGATATACTAAGGTATATTCTTTTTATTATTGTAATTTTTTTATTATGTAATTTTTTTATTTGTTATTCATATTTATATATTATTCATAATAGTTAATTTTTTAAAAATTTATCATAAAGTGTAGTGTGAGTTGTCAAAAAGTATAGTATGAATTGTAAAAAAAAATACTTATAAGTAATTTTTATTAGAACAAAAATTATAAAAATATAATATAAATTTATGAAAAACGTAACACAATAAAACCTATTTAAAGCGATTGAAAGTTGTTTATAAGTAACTCTCATTGTATATATACAATGGTCTTCTACTATCTTTTATCACATTGATGTGGACATATCTCAATGAAAGCTAGTTTTTCAGCAGTGTTTTCATTGAAATATTTTGTTTCTTAATGTAAAGCTAGTTTTTCATGTGCTGGAGCGATAGTTATTATTGAAAGCTAGGATTTTTTAATAGCCTTTTCGTTGAGGTAAAACTTGTCTCTAACAAGCGTTTTAAGTGAAAGCTAGCCTCCGGCTGGTGACTTCAATGTAAATGAAAGTTCATACTACTTATTGTCTAAAAAAAATAGATTTTGTTAGCATTTTCATGTTAATATCATCAATAAAAAATATATTTAATTTAAATTAGTTATTATAATTTCATCAACATTAACTCAAAGAATTGATATTAAGGACTAAAAATGAAATATTTTATTTGAACGTAAAATTTTAATAGAATTAATATTTTCTTAAAAATATTTTTTTTTAAATTTAAAAATTTTAAAAAATAATTCTTAATGCTAATAAGTTTTTAAAATTAATATTATTTTGTTAATAATAAATTTTATTAAAATTAATGTATAGATAACTTTCTATTAATATTTCATTGTGCAATTTCAGTGAAAACATGTTCTTCCTTTGGTTTTTAGAAAGCGTTTGATCTATAGTTTGCAAATAAGGATTTTTGACATAACTCAATGGGCACATTGAAGTTTATTACTTATTATTTTTCCTAAATTATTTCAGCACGTTAAATTTCATTACATAAAGTATAAACATGTTTATAAGTTGAATAAATTTTTATTTTAATCTCTGTAAATTTTATTCTTTGTTTTAATTTCTCTAAAATTTGAAACTATTATTTTAGTCTCTATTATTATTATGTAATCATTTTTAGTTACTTATTTATTTAATAAAAAATTAAGTGAGTACTTTAAGTGTTTTTTTTATATTTGTTAGTGGTATTATGTAGTGTGTGATATTTCTAAATAAGTCCTTAAAATAAATGTTATTGATGTATTTTAAAATTATTATTAGAAACTAAAAATAATGATTTTAGATTTTTGAAAGATAAAAATCAAAGAAAATAAATATTTTTTCAACAATCTAAATCAAACTTTATTCATTTTACAAGGGTAAAAATATTTTGTAAGGATTAAAAATAATATTTACAAAATTTAAAAAAATTACAGGAATTAAAATATAAAAATTTGTTCATTTTACGATGTCTAAAAAAATATATAAGCTTTTTCTTTTTTTTCTTCCTTTATTTTTCTATTATATATAGAAATGGCATGAGAGAAAAAAAATCCCAATACTAATAACTAGAATTAACAATTAGTTCGAAATAATTTTTTGCGAATTCCCTTTTCAGTTTCTTACTAATTCCCGAACCTTCACAATTTATTTTTCTCTATTTCTTTCTTTCATATTTATATGAATGAAACAGAGATATGTCAACAGCCTCTCACTGTTCACGTCACAAAATCACACTCTGATTTTTTACGTTAACGCTGCACCACAGTCTCTTCTTCGACATGCACACACAGGCTCACTTCACTGACTTTACTTATTCCCTAACCGATCTACCCATCTTCTGTGGGCTCTCTGAGATACTTGAAGCTTCAAAAATATTTGTGGCAGCACCCAACTTCGATCTCTCGTACCCATCCTTTCGCATTCTAGCCAGCAAAGCCACCATCATTGCAATGTCTCGAGATACTGCCATGGAACCAAACAACAAATCACCATCAACACAAGCTACACCAGTACCCGAACCCACTCTAGAGCCGAACATGACCGAGATAAACTCAGCCCCTTTTGCTTTGTATTGCTCATTGTGTCTTGTTGTGTTCTTACTTTTTTTTTTTTTTTTTTTTTTTTTACTACTGTACTGAAAGCAGATTAATTTGAGATTAGTCTCTTAATATTATTATTTTTAGGATAATCATTAAGATAGTATAAGTGAAATTAAATCTTTGTGAAATGTAACATTTATTGTTATTAATATATTTTATCACAATTTTAATAAAAAAATATTTATTAACTATTATTTGAAGTCAATGCTTAATAAAACTATTTTATGCACCAGATAATTTAGATTAGTGTTACCCAACACAAAAAATAAAAAATAAAAAATAAGTGTTGCCCATTGACTACACATCTCTTGTAGTGTGCCTAAATTTATTTAGAAGACAAAATGATAGAAATATGTTATAAAATAATTGAAATTATAGATACAAATTGCAAATAAATCCAATTTCATACAACAGAACTATCAATTTCATCTCTGGGAAAAAGTTATAATTCTTTTTTCATAGAATAGCATCAAAATTTAAAAGCATTCTAATAGCAAATGTTGATATAATTTAAAAACATCTCTACCCACTTTCTTTGGCTAATTTGGCTTTCAAGCTTCGAGTTTTTAGGTATATATGAATAGTTAATAATATTTTGCTAGTTTAAATCTGCATATTTGATCTTCGAGTAACTATTATAACTTTTTTTTTCTTCTAAATAGTCTGATAAAATTTTCGTCTCTCAATTAATAAAAATTCTGTGAGTAGAAACTGACAATCATTATTCGTTGAATTGCAGAAAGTAATGTGGCATATGATTTGAAGCACAAAAGAATCCAAATGTTTGGATACAAGCTAAAAACGTTTTTAAAAATTTCTCTACCAAAAATAAAAAATATTTTCTGATAGAGAAGTTCTACTTGTATCCAAACAGACTTTACATTAAAGAAATCCAACCCCCCGAGCAGGGTAAATTACAACATCAAATGCACAAAATAACATTTTGAAAATTTGAGGGAAAAAATATACATCGGAATTTCCCAATTTTTATTTGTATTCCACGGGGACCTTCCGATAAATTTGTAAAACTGTAGAAGAATTCTCATGAAATAATCACTGGCAATTTTATTCATTGAAATTTGATAATGTGTTAAAGGACTGGCCGCCAAGAAATAGCATCATTGAGCGATAGCGTTGATTTCCGATCAATAAGACATCTGCATGCAAGCAACCTTGATCAATTGCTAGCATAGTCACGAGCATTAGTTGCCATATGCATGCATCAAAGGAAAAAGACAGAAAAGAACAGCTAGAAACTACCAGATAGTGAATGAGAGATAAATTTAGTAGTATACCTTACAGTTCACATGTCCGTAAGGATGAAGAACATTGCAATCACAAGGATTTTTGTCTTTGCCAAGTCCGCTGTGCAATCATATTTTATCTTGAACAAAATATCAGCTCAACACTTTGTTAATGAAGACAAGGATTAACATCAGCAAAGATAGTTCCAGCATAAACTTAGGACCCGTCATGTGTTCAAGAATTTGCTGCCACCTGTAAGTTCAACCAGTAGATAGCTGCTGGTAAAGCCTGTTATCCATTTTGGATCTCCATTACAATCAGATATGACTCAAAACATTGTCAAATCATACAAAACTAACCAAATCAGGCAAGCACACTAATGAAGATATCAACTAAATCAATAAAAGGCTGAGCTCTACACATGCCGAAACTGGTATCTGTGATCATGCAATTCATACCCAAAGACAATTATTTGTAAGCAGTTATTGGAATAAGTATACATAATGAACATTTATCCCCTGTTCCCAATCCTTTACAACCAAATAGCCATAGGTTTAGGCAGAGCGTGTTTTATAGTAACACTTTCTTTTAACGAGTAAGTTACTTTAGTTTCAAAGCATTCTGACTCGCTATTTTCAACAATAGTATGTCAGAATTGCTGACTTGCCCAGTACAAATAGCCATGGAATCATCAAATCTTACAAGGATAATGGGCAACTAAAACTAGCACAATATACCAAGAACTAAGATAGTTAAAGTGCATACCAATTTCCTTCAAATGAAGTGCTGTTTCCCTCCTTTATTTCCTCCTTTGCAAGTTCTTCAAGAATAGCACGTTGTCGTTCATTGATTTCACTAGAAGGATGAGTGGACCAGAAATAAGTTGATGCAAATGTAACTTAGCAGTAAGCAGACTAGAGATTGTGTGTAAGCAAGGATAACCAAGTGAAAAAAGACATGCACTTAATAATACTACCAATTTTATTAAGGGGGCACACCAGTAAAAGGAAGCAGCATTGGTAGAAAAACTGCCCAAGGAAAGGCACAGTTACTGTCCCAGCAAGGTTAGGGTACTGTGCTTGGAGAAGAAACTAGGGCTGACTAGGTAAGGAGAACTTACTAGACTATTGATACCATATTAGGCTCAGGTAATTGTGTATAAAATAGTAAATACACAAATATTTATAATTACAGAATAATGAATACAATGATACATCAAGAAAAGGTAATTAATCAAATCCCCAGTAATTAGGAAAGACTAATTCTGCAAATGTCAATAACAAACAATAAAAAGAAAACAGGAAAGTTGACATAGTACCAACCAATGTCCATAAGGAATTAATATCAAAGTAACATTATAAGGAAAAACATTATATTGCTTCTTTACATAATAAATGACACATTCCTTGAAGACGGGTCTATGAAGTCAAAGTAAAACAAGAGTTGAACACAAGAACCTACATGGGAAAGTTAACACGGAATCGTACATACTGATCCCCATGATGTACAAGATATCCATGCTTTGGTAGTCCTGCATCAACAACTATAGTAAGTATACTTTTCGAGTACAAGAACAGAAAAGGACCAAAATTTGTTCAAAACTGTCCATGAGAGAGGGAACTTTTCATTTAACCTTTGCCTCTTAATACCAGAAGCTGTCCATGTTGAACACCCTTGGGTATCTGACGGGAACAAAATCACACAATATTAGATAAAATAGGGTCAAAACAAGCAGTCATGTGAACAATAATTCTATAACAAGTTTTAAGTCATAATTTGATGAGGGTAGCAAAATGGTTAGAACAAGCCAGGCTTGTTTTACCCCACCAAAAGATATACATTAAGCTCGATGATTTCGAACAGAAATTTGGAATACAACAAAATACAAGGAATTTCAATGGTAAGCAGAAAATATCATTTGGACAAAAGATATTACAAAATCAATATTATTTATCTTGGTGAATATTAAGGAGTCCAAAATATATGACCCTATAACGTCTTTAACCCAGACAATGCTGCCAAATTATATAAAATCTACAAACTTAAGCAACTAGTAATGAGAGTTTTTTTTTTCACCATATCATAATTACCCTCCTCGTAAGAAAGTCTAAAATGAGTCCATGAGCCTCCCAAATAAAAAGATGATAACACCTTTCTTATGGATACATTGACTTTGCATAATCAGAATCTGCCAAATTTATGAATTTGCTATAAACTACAAAGCACGGACACATCTCTAGTTCTCTTGCTTAATCCACTCTTGTTATGTTTAGACTATGCTGAAAGAAAAAAATCACAACTGAAAAAGTAAATATTGTCTCACTTTTAATTGCATCCTCCCTGATAAAGTAGGCACCTCAACTTTGCCACCAAGAATAGCCTGTAATGTTAAGACTTTTTTCTATTAATGACACTGATACAGACTTAGGTTCACTGTCATGAAGATAATTAAGGTGCAAAACATGGTATGTGAAATGTCTTAAATGGGACCCATTTAAATAATCTTCTCTGACAAAATGCATGCAATGGCAAAAAAGAAGTGTTAGAATTAAGAATGTGCAAAGTGTGACAGCTGCAACGTTAGAATAAAGCACATGTAAAATGCGAAATAACTTACAGATTTTTTATGAATCAACAGAACTGATTTGTATGCATTTGAGCTAAAATATAGCAGAAAATATGTATTGTAATGTACATAATATATATTTACAGCAGTATAATCTGTAAGACACAATTCCATCAAAAATTTGTAAGAAGGAACCAAACCTAAGAACTAAAGTTATATCCCTTCTATGTTATATGTGTAAAACTGTTCCTCGAGCTGAAACACTAAAGGGCGAGGGCAAACTTATTTCAACATGTAACATGTTTCTTGATCTCTACATGTACTTCTTAAGTGCACGGCTCTATTATCTTAGTTTCCTTCAGGAAAAATGAATACTGTGGCCTTACTTTTCTCAAGAGGAGAGGAGCACCATTGTTTTGAACCAAATAAAACTATATAAACATGAAACTAAGCTTGACAAATAGATTTCAGAGAAAACATGGTGTAGTGAAACTTCAGGCTCATCTTCATAGGGCTTATTAATCATTTAATACGAATTTGTATCCCTCAGCCTAGCAGCTCTAAGGTGTGCTCCCCCTTTGTGTCCAGGTCTTTCCCCTCTTTATTCAGATAGTTGAATATCCAAAAGTAAAGGAAGTATAGAATATATCACCTGTGTAAAACTAATATTAGAATCCACGTAGATATCTGCACCATCTCTGACAAAGATTGAATCCTCAGCGACCTATATCAACAGGGGAAAAAAATGATGCTCCAAGAAGAATAGAAGATTAGAACATAATTTTCCATGATAATAAAACCATTATCCTACTAAAGCAGAAAGCTTATTCCTGGTTTTATTTTTTAAACAGCAGCATGTAATCAAGATGGGAACAAGAATACTCGAGATCAAGGGAAATGAAGCACATCTATGATGTTGCACTTACCTGACCCTAACTAGATTACTTAACTTACTATTACTAGCAAATACCTACGGATCCAGGGAAGAGTTAGACAATTTTTATCTTGAGCAGATCAAAGAAAAAGAAACTTATACACTTGACTGAGATTATTTGTATCAGGAGATTTCACTGATAGCATAACTGTTATGGTGTTTAGGATTTAACTATATTGAGTAAATTCAAACTTTACAAACGAATTCTTGTAACTAATTCATCATATATTTATATTTATATTGTGAAATGACAATTTACTATTACCTTTAGCATTCTATGTCCAAGATAAATTTATAGTAAAATAAAGTCATCAAAGAAAGCGTGTCAACTTAAAACATAATAACAACTTAATTTAAGTTATTTAATTCATAAAATGTTGAGTAACTTTCCATTTTGGTCATCTAATGTTTTTTAAAGCAATGTTACGTTGTTCAATTTAGGAATAAAGATTCAATTAATGCAATCAAATTGGCTTTTAAAAGGACTACTGATGGTGATACTTTTCATTGAAGGACCAATTTAGTGTCACCAGCAACAAGAGGACCAATGTTAAGTTACATGTACCTTTGGATAACCAAAATGGACATTAACTCTATTATGCACGTTAAGATGAATATTAGTTTTTTATGTGTAGATACTAGAACATGAATGCATAAATATGAGAAGAGTTAAAATAATGAAAAACTGTATGAAGCAAGTACTTTAAAGTTGAAGATTAAAGACTAAAGAGACAGAATTATGTTCATTTTTCTACCAAATAAGAGTTGTACTTAAAATGGGCCTCTGTCATCGTATGAATCTAATGTCTATGATAGTATATAAGCTTGTTTATTTTAAAGATGAGTAGAATTAATTTTGAACTGTTGAATATAATTAGGATGTAAGTCCAAATTAATCTGTATAGATTTTATAATAAAATGTGTCACAGTAGGAAGAGTTGATTGTGGGTGTTACCAAACAGGCACCAGTTTTTAAAAAGCCAACTTTGGTTTAAATCATAGATTCACAGGCCAGAAGGTAGCACATGTTAGTGTGCGATCTACACTGAAGGTTTGAACAGAAAAATGCCTTTATTTTAATGTATAAACTTCCAGGTCGGCCTCCACTTCCAGCAGCATTCCCACCTTCTGGCACATGGATTGTATCTCCTGAATCCACACCTACCAATTAATGGAAAACTATGATGAGAATAATGGGGGGGAAATTCTTCTTTGGATAAAATATAAAAGAGTGGCAGATGGTAAACCAAATCTAGGCAGGAAGGTCTGCAGCATGGATAAAACTTTCCATGTATAAAAATTCTATAGAACAATCAACACCATAAAAAGAACCAAAGGATATTCCATGTCAACTTAAACTTGAGCATAAAAGATGAAACATGGATCAAAATGATAACTTATTAGTAAAGATTTCTAATGGGAACAAGAAGCTACTACAACATCGACCAAGTCTTATTCCAATATGTTCAGGTACATTGATGAGCTCTAACCAACATATAGCTTCAGTAAACATCGTCACACGTATCAAAAACCAACCTGCTGGTATTGTGACTTTAACCTCTTTAACTCCTTCAACCACCCCAGATCCTCTACACGAGACACAAAAGTCCTGCACAAAATAGATAGACAAATACATATTTATGAAAGATTATGGCTCAAAAATAGATAACAACTCTCACAATATTATTTGTAAGGGAATTTATTAAAGACCTTAATAATATGGCCTGATCCTTTACAAGTAATGCATGTTGACGTAAATGGAGGAATTGTAACCTGGTAAGAAATCATGAATTGAAATATATTATAAGTAATAACTGACAATTCTAATGCCACAAAAAGTTTGACTCATGATGGCTCAAAATTTTGCTTAAAAATATTTATGTCACTTAAGTAATCAGTATTGATTTTTTTAAGACACTTACTTGACCTAAGCCCCGGCATGTTGGACAAACTTTTGGGATGGCATCAAGTGGATAGCCCCGCCCATCTGGATTAATATAATGAAAGAAGTTGGCATCAAATGGGATTATCATTATGTTAAAGAAAACAAGATACAGGCTCACTTCAGTACTTCACTATAAACAGATGTCATAGCCAATGTTTATTTTTTATTATTTCCTCAACACGATACAGGCGCACTTCACTATAAACAGATGGATAGCACAGCCCAGCCCATCCAGAAATATTTATTTTTGTTTTTTGATTATTTCCTCAAAATAGTTTTGCAGCTTATAAAAGTTCTTGTTTTAGCCAAAGATTAGCGAGCAATAAATATTTGTAAACCTTATCCTGTTCATAAGTAATAATTTAATATCATACACTAATCTCCAATTATGCAAGAGCTAGGAGAAGGAAGAGAGAAAAGACACCCTAATGTCAATGCAGCCACTGCTCATGACTAGGCTCAATCATTCAAACATACGGTTCATCATAAGACTTCTCTATCGAAGATTCCTATGATATCTAACAAGATTGCATTAAAGTTCAATTAAAAAAAAAACATAGATTCAGTTAATCCCAACCCAGCACCCAAAATAAATAAGTAAAATAAATTTATTCATACGAGGACATTATTTTTGCCATTTCCTAAAGCAGTGATTAGAAATGGAGACAACTAGTATGCAATTCTTATGTAGAAAACATTCCACCCAGGGTATTCCTAATTCCCAGAATATATTAACTTTACTCACTACAATAATCACAGGGAACTGATGCATCAAATGACACATGTTTGGTGCATCCTCTTGCTGCTTCTGAGAAGCTAAGAGACAACTCCACCTATCAGCATAGCAATAGGAGAATGGTTAGTTAAGAAAAGTAGGAACATATTTCAGACAACAGAGAAACAAGGGTTAGGCTAACCTCTATATTTGATGAGAATTGAGTTGTTGCTTCTTCAAATATCTGTTAGATCACGAAAATTAAGAGATTTCCTCAGAGAATACTCAAGTGAAATGAATCCAAAAATGTAAAGAATGTGTGTTTGTAGAGAGAGATAAGGAGCATATCAAGTAAGAGCATGCAATACAAGGTTAGAGGAATTGATCTTGACCATTCAATCTTACATGGATGGTCAATATTAAATCAAGCAAAACCAATTGTGACCATTCATGTATAGTCTCCTGACCAAGATATATATTTTCAATTAATTAATTAATAAACGAAAACAGTATGTATGAGAGCCAAAAAATACCTCAGAGAATACTTTATGAAATGAATCAGAAAAATGAGAACGATAAGCATTTCTAAACCTTTCTGCATCATTATGGTCATATTCTACGCCTTCTGAACCACGAGTACGCATCTTCAGTTGAAAAAGGAGTTTATTGGAGAAAATGATGGGAAAATGTTAGTCAATTCAACATCCTAAATAAGAGTGAGGACTATGAATTACAGAAATATTGAACATCTTTACCCAAATGAAGCTCTAGATATTTGGAACATACAACAATGACTACTATATCAAATTTGAAATTTTAATAGTATATAAGAAAACAAAAAATAAAACTACCTTGTCATACTCTGCTCTCTTTTTAGAGTCTCTCAATGTCTGAAATTACATAGCAAACAGGAAAGTCAAAATATCACTGCTAATTAATCAGTTTGGACCATAACCAACCTAGTAAGAAGAAAGGAGGGCTAAACGTATCTGAAAATGCAAGGAAAAAATTAAGCATTCATAAAATGCTAATAAAGACCTCATAAGCTTCTCTTATATCTTGAAACTTCCTCTTAGCAGATGGATTATTCTTATTTGCATCTGGATGGTACTTTTTAGCAAGCTGCACAACACAAAAAAAAATGTGGCATAATGCAGTATTAGCTAAAAAGAAGACATTTGATTTTAGAATATTGTCAAATGTCAAAGCAGTATGATGACAGAAGATATCAAGATTGAAAACCAAAATGCACACATAAACTGTTTTTAGTAGGCTCTGAGCTCAAAAAACAGTTGTTATACATTAATATGCAGAACAAAAAGATTTCTACAAGTTATACCCTTTTGTCGATATTGTGGGAAATTATTAAGCCTTCATGTATTAGGTTTTGTAACTTTGTGTAATTCTTTTCTGGGTGGAAGAATTCATCAAGATATCGAGAATATAGTTACTATGACAATGTTTATGATGTTGGAGGAAAAGGGGTCCTCTTCAACAATATAAAATAAAAAAACAGAAAAACAATGTAAAATCAAAACAATACATGTGCCACCAAACTATAGAACAAAGCTGCCCAATTCCTCAGTTCAGCAGTCAGCAAATATTATGGAAATGCTAAAAGACCATGTGCCACCAAACTAGCAGGCATCTCATGCATTGCATGGGTATTTGAAGTACACATTTAAATGTGAAAATATACGTTTAAAAAATATTGAAAAAAATATATAAAATGCAGAAATTTGAAAGTTTAATTTTAAAAAATCTTAAAATATTGGTTTAAATACAAAAACTATAATTTTAATGATAATTAGGAAATACCCCATTATATGTAATGTTGACTGAAGAAAATTATGGGTTGATTAAAAAAAATTAAGAAAACTAAAAATATCCTTTAATGATATAACTAATTAAAAAGACAATATTGATTTCATTTGATATTGAAACTCACATGACATGTGTCATAAAACAAGGAAGACACTTGGCTACATTAAGAGAGTACAAATAGAGGTTATTTCATCTTCAAGAATAAGGATCCTAATTTATAATGTAGAGGTGGATAGAAGCCAAACTTCTGACTTATCCCAGAATTAGCCCCTGAATTTTAGTCATTCATAACTAGAAGATGTGACAAAATCTCATTCTATCATCTAGATAAAACTATCTCTCCTTCACTGTGTATGCACTTTTTGGCATTCAAAAATTATTCCTAGCTGTATCTCTCTGCATGCATAAGATTTCACGTTCTGAAATTAAAAGTGTGAATAAATTGATCAACCTGCAGCTAGAAAAATGCAGGTTATGCATAAAAAATGTAATCAACAAGAACTAAGGTTACCTTGGTAAAGACACAAACAGGAGGAGTAGGAATATTAGATGCTTGCTCAGTACTAAAGATGATGAACCAAAAATGAGAATGGCTTTAATTTGACTTTCCATTCACAGAAAGGTTTTCCTTTCATAAATGAGATGAAAATGAAGTAAAAACTAGAGTGAAAATATAATGCTCAACAGCAACTTTATCCCATTAGATAAAGTCAGTTACATGGATTAGACAATATCATTTGAAAACCAAATTCTCAGGGACATTATTCGCCATGAACCTTTTAATATTTTTCTCTAATGTTGTTCTTGGCCTCCCTCCATCCCTTTTTACAGAGATAAAAAACATGTCATCTACTGTACTCAGTAGTTCTTTCAATGGTCACCTTTGCATGTATCCAAACCATCTTGACTAATTTTCTATTATCTTTTCCTCAATAGCTGTCACACAGTTATCTCCTCATAATACAATCATTCTATATCCAGTCTTCCTTTGTGTAGCTAAATAAAACCCATTAACATACTCATTTTATTAATGTCACTTATTTTTTCTCTCATTGTCCCTTTGAAACCCAACATTCACAACCACAGAGTATAGCTAATTGTATAGCAATACAAGAAAACTTCTCTCTCAGCTTGGTACGTACTTTTGCAGTCACAAATAAATCCCGATGTTTTTCTCCTTGTATCCTGTGTGACATATTTCATTAATTTCCCTATCATTTTGTAATATATTGATCTCAGTTGTAGTATAACATCTCCAATTTTTACTTCCAATTTATTCTCCTTTTGTTTTTAGCTAAAATTGCAATACATGTATTGTGTACTGCTCCTACTCAAGAAAAAAAACTTTGGTAATGATGTCTATATCCAAAGCCCAAGTTTAAAGTTAACATCTTCACTTGATTCATCAATCAAAAGCTCAAAACTATGTCATCTACAAAAAAATGCATTCATGGATAATATTTTACCCCTCTGGTACATACATCGAATACTATAACTAGATTAAGCCAGTAAGAACTCAAAGTGAGCCGTAATGTAATTTTAAACCAATCCTTTTAAGAAAGTCCTTAGTATTGCCTTCAAGAGTTCTAGTTATTCCATAATACATGCCTTTTATAGTCCGGATATAAGTCATACAAACAGTTGAACCTGGTTTAGTAACTATATGATTTCCTTATTTTTGCAATTAAGCCTGGTTTAGTAACATTAAATTATTGTCATGACTGAGAATAGATATTAGATCATCTAATTTGTCATTGTTGTTACTCCTACCAAGTAGCAAGCAATTGGAATGAAATTTCATCTCTCTTATTAAAAGTGTTCGAGATGAAAATTGAATCATCCCCATTGCCCAAACAAAACATTGCAATTTTCCATCTGACTCTACCTAACAAGCATAGCTTTGTTCAATCAAAACATGAGTCCTAAGCAACACAAAACAAGAGATTCCTAATAACCACGCACCGAGTGAAATGCCTTCTTTATCTCGTCCTGACTGGCATTTTCAGGAACACCGAGAACTCGATAGAAGTCTCGGTCAGCCGAAGAAGAAAATGCTGGACCAATACAAGCAGAAAAAATGAAAACCTCAACATAAATGTACATCACTGGTATATAACTAGAAACAAGGCGATTCACATTCGACTCAACAAAACCTGTGGCATGAACATAACGATATCCTAACGGTGCTCTCGGAACCCGAGACTCCTCCGTTTTCGTGACGAAACCGCAATTGACCAAAGCTGTGGTATACAGAACATTTAATTCCGCAAAAATAAGGAATCATTAGAAAAATGGAAGCGACGATTGTTATTCAAAAACAAGAGAAATTCGGAACGTGCCTCGTGCGAGCAAAAAGGATTGGCGAGACGATAAGAATTTGTTGAACGAATCTCCTTTATCCACGAGCGATTCTGAGGTCACAGGCGAAAGAAAATGGCGCCGATACTGCATTGGAAGAGTGGTTAGTGTGAAGAACGGTGGGTGAGAAAAAGGAAGAGTGATTTTGAATGGTTTTGGGATTTTGGTTGCTGCACTTACCGGCGTTAACCACGTGAACCTTCTCATTCGCGTAAAAGGCTTGTGGATACAATGATAGGAGAGGGATGAAGTCGTTGAGGAAGTAAGTCTGCTTAAGAGACCATCGGAACGCCGATTGACTTATAGATTCCGGTGGCGGTGGTGGTGCTCTCAGAACTCAGATCTTTGGCACTCGGGGTTTTAGCGCATTGGGTTTAGGTTCGGGGCTTAACATTAACGGCATTTGTGGGGAATTTTTATTTTCTTCAATATATGTTGTTAACCTTTTCATTTTTTCTCTTAATCAATAGCTTCCACAGATTACTTGAACCACATATATTTTCATTTCTAGAGTCAACTATTTATCTAATTCAATTGTTTTTTATTTATCTAATTTATTTATGAATTAAAATTTAATATCTTTTAAAATAAATTATCGATAATTAATCTTATATTATAATATAAATTATTTATCTTAAATTAAAAATATAATTTATATATTTAAAATATCTATTTATACAAATTTTAACTATAATTCATATATTCAAATATAACATTTATATCTACACACTTTATTATAAAATTTACCAAACAAACTAAAACACGAGTTGATAGTTGACGATATTTTAAAAAATTCTTTAAAATCATATATTTGATTTACAGGTAAAAAATTTGATACAATTGAGAAGTAATTTGAATGCATTTATAAATTATTATATATATGTATAATATAATATAATAAATATTTTTAAAATAGTAATTGAGATTCTTTTACTTTTTTCTCTTAATAAATCATTTTTAAAAAAATAAATATTATCTATGTCATCTTTGTAAAATATCATTTAATTTTTTTATAACAAAAGATAAATTAGTTCTTTCAAATTTTTTAATTATAATGAAATTTAAGCTCTTTTAATAAAGTTTTTATCAATAAATGATTAACAGATGAAATATTTCATCTTATTAATAGAAGATGTTAATATACAATGAATGGAGACATTTATTTAAGTCCAACAATAGTGATTTTAAAATAAGTGAATCATTGTTAAGAAATTCTTACATAAGTATAAGTTGATTGTGTTTGTTATAATTATAATAAAAAAAATCTTTTTAAAAATTTTATCTTTGATTAACAATTATTTTCTTGAAAAATAACTAAGTCGTTGTTCAAAAAAGTAGTTTTATATTTTTTCCATTTATTTTTATTAAAAAATTATCCAATTTTCTCTAAAGTTTTAGTAAGTACATTTTCTTTTAAAAAATGTATTTTAGGAAAAAAAAAATGAACAAACGAATTCAATATCTACTTATTTCAAATAATCTATCCATGTAACAAGAAATATCTATGAAGCTTCAAAAACTTTTAAGATTCATTGTGGAAAGAACAAAATATTAAGTCAGTTACTTATCCCCATCAAAACACAAGTGAACACAAAAGATAGAGAAATTAGATTGTATTTTACAACAAAAATAATACATATTTTATGTAAGAAGATCTTAAATACGAGAATGGAAGATACGTTTTATCTTATAAAAAAAAACTAGATGGTGAAAGACAATAAGTATTATATTAAATACCATTTACCCAATACAAAGAAGACATACAAAGGAGGAAAGCCAAAAAGCTCTAAATGGATACTTTTGAAGAACTCATAAATAGTAGAGATAATTTTATAAGCTTTAGTCCTTTGAAGATTATATATGCTAAGTGAAAAAATGTTTTCAAATGATCAAACTAATACATTTATCTATTTGAATAGGATTTTATAGTCGATTTGACATGTAGATGCCAAAGAGAACATTTAAGTCAACTTATATTTTTTAGGAGACGATGAGTTCAATATATAGATTATTTTTTTCTTTTCACATTTTGCCCAAAGATTTTAAGAGAGATAATGTATCAAGATGATTGCAAAGACTAGCTTGATCATCTTGCACAATATCTCAAATGAAAAAACACTAGGAAAACCACTAACACCAACTTTCGTTCATGTATGACCCATACTAGATTTGACAAATTGCTCATCTTACCTCTTCTTTATTCTTAACAGATCATAGTTGTCTTTGTGGAGTCTTTCAATGACATGTTTCACTCCTCTTTGCCATTACTTAAGTATAAGATACTATTACTATAGCTAGAACAATTAAACATCCAACTTGAGATCACAATGATCTAATCGTAGGAGGGTAACTACCAAATTAGTCATATCCCCCCTCCCAAAGAGATTTATTTATAGTTTGAAACACTATAGAACTTCAATGTATATTTGTTTCTTAAGACATTGATTTCAAGTAAGTTTAACCCTTACATTTATTAAGTGATTGTAAGTACATTGATTCAAAAAATACTTAGATTATTTACTTAAATTTGTAGAAGTTCACTATCCAATTCGATTCACACCGAGAATGCTGAATCTTCGTTAATACAAGATTTAAGAGAAAAAAAATCAAGAATGATTTTGTGTGACGTTGCTGCGGTTAAAGGTGGCTCATGGAGTCGTTCTCATAATCTCCTGGCATGGGAACATGTTTGTCATCACCACTAATCGTTGAAATGTTACCAACTATCAATAACTAACAAAAACTCTTGTCGCCAATCACTGAAATCCGGCCACCCAATGCGAATGCTTGACTTTTGATGACAGTCACCACCAAACAGGTTTGTTCCTAGTAATGTTATGGTCAAACAAACGCGGTAAATCATTATAATTATTCCTGAAATAGTAAAATATCGTTTCTTAAACTATTTTTCCTCGATGTATTTATTTTTTCAACTACCATGGAAGCCAAAGTTGGGTTTGGGGTTGAAAGAGAGTAAAACTATAAAGTATAAAGCCCAATGATGGAGTGCAAGAAGAACAGCCTAGTACTAGGCCGACAACAAATATTTTATATCTAAAAAATGTTAGTACATTCTCTATTATTAACAAAACTTTGTTAAAATCACAAAATTGTGAATTCCACCTCTTATTTAATAAAGATTCATTTATAATTTTATATTTTTTAATAAATTTTAACCGATAAAACAGTGTTAAAAATGAGTCAAAAGTATGGGGATGATATTGCGCTTAGAAATTAGAATTGTGCAGTTGGATGTTACTGGTTTTGCATGTTTGTTGCTTTCTTTTTCAGTCTTGTAAGAGTTTGTTAGCCAGGTGTCAAGTATTGCACAATGTAAATCGTGATATAAGGAATGGTAATTGTACCGGAGAGACCGTATCGGTCACGTGGGCCAACAGGGTCCTGCTCCGTTCCCTGGACCTGTGCCTCGGAGGTGCCCTTTCACGGTTCCCCCTTCCGGACTCCCTCTTATCATGGAAGTTGTCGTACCTCTTCCTACTTGAGGGTTAGGTGAAGTTTTGTAGATGACCGGACTTGATGAGATCTTCAATGCGGTCTCGGAGGGCCGTGCATTCCTTTGTGGTGTATCCTCGGTTCCTGTGGAACTAGCATGTTTTGGTTTTGTCTGCGTGGGGTGGGGTCATAGCGCGGCGGGGCACCGCGAGGATCTCTATGGCCAATGCCTGCTCTAACACCTTGGTCCTACTGGTGTTGAGTGGCGTGTAATGTGCATACCGGGGACCCCTGGTATACCCGAACACGAGTTGACACCTTATAACGAGCCCCTGGTTTGATTTTCAGGTGAAAGAGTGGACACCCGAGGGACGATAGACCTATACACCTACTTCGGAGATGACCAGCCAAGGCGAAGGATTAAGGTACGATACGTGGTGGTGAATGCTAACACCTCGTACAACATCTTGTTGGGCCGACCTTCCCTGAACAAGCTCCGGGCTATCGTCTCCACTCCCCACCTGGCTATGAAGTTCCCCTCGGAAGAAGGCATGGTTATCACACTGCATGCCGATCAAAAGACGGCTCGTGAATGTTACTTCGCTAGCTTAAAAGTGCAACCAACTCCGAAGCCGAGACGAGAAGTCAACGCCATAGGAGACGTCCGTCTCCAAGATCCGGTCATAGACTTGGAGCTCGACCCACGAATTGAAGACGAGCACCGAGTCGAACCAATCGAGACGACAATCCCTTTTCAACTCGGAAGAAGCGAGGAACAGGTCACGTACCTGAGTTCTCAACTGACGGAGGATGAAGCAAGAGAAATTAGCCAAATCCTTTTGAGATACTCGGATCTATTTGCCTGGACGGCGGCCGACATGCCCGGTATCGACCCAAGTTTTCACTGCCATCGGCTCCCCGTGTGCCGAGATGCCAAGCCCGTCGCCCAGAAGAAAAGAAAAATGGGAGGAGAGAGGGCTCAGGCGGTAAGAGAAGAAACGGCTAAATTGTTGCAAGCCGGATTCATCCGAGAAGTTAAATATTCGACTTGGTTAGCCAACGTGGTTATGGTCAAGAAGGCAAGCGGAAAGTGGCGGATGTGTACCGACTACACGGATTTGAACAAGGCATGCCTGAAGGATGCATATCCCTTACCACATATTGATGCGCTTGTCGACGGGGCGGTAGGCCATCAGAGATTAAGCTTCCTAGACGCTTACTCGGGATACAATCAAATACCCATGTACCCACCCGATGAAGACAAGACCGCGTTTATCACTGATTCGGCAAATTACTGCTACAGGGTGATGCCATTCGGCTTGCGAAACGCTGGAGCAACTTACCAGCGTCTCATGGACAAGATCTTCCGTCGACAGATCGGATCTTGTATGGAGGTATACGTTGATGATATGGTGATTAAGTCGGCATCTCCAACTGACCACTTGAGAGATCTCACCAACATTTTTGACGAAGTAAGGCGACATCATATGCGGTTGAACCCAGCCAAGTGCACCTTTGGAGTCGCCGGGGGAAAATTCTTAGGTTTCATGCTGTCCAAGAGAGGCATAGAGGCGAATCCCGACAAGTGTCAGGCAATCATCAACATGAGAAGCCCCCGCAACGTAAAGGAAGTCCAACGGCTAGCTGGCCGTATCGCCTCCCTGGCTCGTTTCTTGCCGTGCATGGCGGAAAGGTCAAGGCCGATAATGTCTTTGTTAAAAAAGGCAA